TGTCTTTCTTCTGGATGCGGTATTTATAAAGCCTCTTTATCACACTCACAGAACAGAGGATAATGTTGGAGTTAAGAGAGAAAGTTTAGAGGGCAGCTAGTGCCACCCCTTCATTTAAAGATAAAGGGACCTGGGACAATTTTCACTTTTGTGCTATACACACTCACAGGAAAACTACCCCACTGCCTTCAAGTGGTTTCTGACTCATTGTGGCCCTTTAAAACAAAGTAGAACTACCCCAAGCAAGTCAATCCATGGGAGGTAGCCTCCAGGTCAGCTTTCGAGTACCTTAACCACGGCAGCACCAGGGCCTTGTTCATAGGCATAAGATTGAAAAGGGGGAAATGAAGCCAATGTTTCAAGTCTTTTTCTATCATGAGTGGCCGGATGTTGAAGTAATTTTCTTTCTTTTTTGGAAAGCTCTCTTCTATGCTCAAGGTACAAAGTGAGAAGCTGTAGTGCTACGGTTAGGTCTGTGGCTGAGTTTCCTTAACAACAAAATCAGTATCTCTCTCCTAGAGTTTATGAGAGAATGAAAAGAAATAGTATTTCGGAAAAACTTAGTCCAGTTGCCAACACGCTTCTGTCGCTGTTGTTAGCTGGCGTCTAGTTGTTGGTCCCCATTGTTTCTGGGAAGAAAGGATGATGAAGCTTGGTTTCTCACACTCTGGACATGTAGCAAGGCGAGGCTGTTCCTTGGAATGGGCATCATGCTTGGAAAGATGGAGGGTCAGCAAAGGAGAGAAGGACCCGCAATGAGATGGATTGACACAGTGACTTCAGCAATGTGTGCTTGTGTCTCAGAGATGATGAGGACGGTACAGGATAGGGCAGGGTTCAGAATGGCTGTTCATAGGGTCACTATGAGTCATATTCAATTGATAACATCTAACAACAACAGGCACTGCCCAGATTGTCCTGCACACTTTTCCACTGTGATCTACAGTGTTTTCTTTGGCTAGTCTTTGGATGTGAATTTCCAGGCTTCTCCTCCTGGTCCATCTTAGTCTGGAAGCACCGCTAACAGCTACTCAGCATCATAGCAACACTCATGTCCCAATGATGGACAGGTAGTAGCTCCTCACAAGGTGCATGGGCTGGAATCCAAATTACACCAAATCACCCACCACTGCTCTTCCTGGCACATAAAAAGCCAAACCAAATAAACCCCTTGCCATCAAGTCAATACCCTAGTTCTAGTGGAACTTCCCCATAGGTTTCTAAGACTATATAGTCTTTATAGTAAGAGATTGCCACACTCTTCTCCCAAAGAGCTCAGTGAGCTCAGACCATTCGGTTACCAACCAAGCATGTTGCCAATGCACCACCATGGCTCCTCTTCTGGCACACAGGAAATGCCGAATAGGTGTTGGCTACTAAGAAAATAAGAAGGAGCCCCAGTGGCCTGGTTAGTTATGTGTTGTAATGCTTAACTAAAAGGTCAGGGGTTCAAATCCACCATCCACTCTGCATGGGAAAATGGGCAGTTTTCTCCCATCAAGCCTTAGAAATCCAGGTCACTATGGGTTAAAACCAACTTGATGTCTATGAAACTAAGGCAATAAGCACAGCTCTAATTACCCCAACTATAGCTCTCAACCCTGACTGCACACCAGAATGATCTAGCAAGTTTTTCTCAAAAGTACTCAAGCCCAGACCCAGCTGCAGATTCTGAGTTAATTGGTGTGGGGTTGGCCCAGCTCAGGCATTGCTGGAGAACTTCCCGGGCAAATCTAATGCACAGCCAAGATTGAAACCACAGGCCAGGAGGTCTAGGGACAAGGCCAGGGACCATGTACCCTTATCACTGCATACACACCACACTGTTGTTGTTTGAATGGGCCCCAACTCCAAGCAACTCTATGAACAACAGAAGAACACCCTGCCTGATCCTGTGCCATGCCCACCATCTGTCACTGAGCCTATTGTTACAGTCACCACCTCACTCCATCTCGTTGAGGGGCTTCCTCTTTTTCACCGCCCCTCCACTTTTCCAAGCATGGTGTCCTTCTCCAGGCATAGTCTCATTATACCAGGCAGATGGTAAAAAATGGGGGGAAGGGGGAAAGAGAGAGAAAAGAAAATTTACAATGTCATAGTCAAGTTTAAGGAGGAGACAACTATGGTGTGGTGTGGTGTGGTGTTGTGTTTTGAGACGAATTTGTAAATCCTGGTGCGAGACCGTGCCTGTTGGAGGTTGCTGCTTTGAGGAGATCTTTGGGGTGAAGCCACTGTCACTGTGTCTGACCAGGAGGCAAAACCTTTAACTGAGGACTTGGGGGACAAGGAAGAAGGAGAATACATCAAACTCAAAGTCATTGAACAGACAAGATAGCCGTGAGATTCACTTCAAGGTGAAAAAGACAACACACTTCAAGAAACTCAAAGAATCATACTGTCAAAGATGGGATGTGGGAAATAAACTAGTATAAGAATAATGATAATAATAAAAAATATTTAAAAAAAAGATGGGATGTGGGTTGGGGGTTCTAATGAATTGACTTGGATTCTCTTGAAGGTCAGAAGATTATTGATAATTACATTCCAAAAGAACTGGGAATGGAGGAAGAAAATGTAATTAAAATTTGTCAGAAACAAACATGGGGTCATTCAACAATTTAGATATACTTTAATAATTTTTCTCCCTTTTCTCTTAAGCAGGAGTACCATCCACTTCTGAAATAGCTTGCCTCCAGAAACTCTATGAACTTGGAGAAATAATTAAAGTTATACAAGTATTCAGGTCTTTCATTCACAAGGTCACTATGAGTCGTCTACAACTTAACAACAACAACAACAACAACTTCAGCAACTTAATCAGTTTTTTATTTTTAATACTAGTTATTTTGTAATGTGGTGTTCAAAAAAGAATGGAAAACTAGCACCTACCTTCAAAAAAATCTGGTATTTTGAATTCTAGTTTTCATTCATAGGGTCACTATGAGTTGCCTACAAATTGATGGCATTTAACAACAACAAGTAGAGAGAGCTCAGTTGGCATAAGGGACAGAAACTTATGCTACCAAGCCAAAGGTGGGTGATTTTAATCTATGTCTCTCAGGCCTGCTTTTAATCGTTTTTGGTCAAACATTCTTCTAAGTGGTATAGCACTTGTCTGTAGATTTGCTGTACAGGGTAACTTGTGGTTGCTGTGATGCTAAACACCATGACACTGATGTATCAAATATGATAATGGTCACCCATGGTGGACAGTGTTTGGTGGAGCTCCTGATTAAAACAGGCTTAGAAGCAAGAGTGGCATCCATTTCTAAAATAGCTTGCCCCTGGAAACCCTATGAACTTGGAGAAATGAAGAAAGTTATACAAGTGTTCGGTACTTCCATTCATAGGGTCGATAAGAGTCGCCTACAACTCGATGGCATTTAACAACAACAACACCAACAACAACAGTGCTTTTTTGGCACCAGCAGCCAGGAAATTAAGACATATTGTGATGGGAAAGTCTACTGTTAGGAACCTCTCCAAAGTACTGAAGAGCAATGGTGTCTCTCTGGAGACTAAGGTGTGTCTGATACAGGCCATGGTCTTCGCAATCACTGGCTATGCATCAGAGAGTTGTACAATGACTAGGGAGGATAGAAGGAGAATTGATGCCTTTGAGCTATGGTGTTGGAAGAGTATTGAATATACCACGGACTGCTAGGAGAACAAACAGGTTCATCCTGGAGAGGGTTAAACCAGACTGCTCCTTGGAGACAAAGATACTGAAGCTTTGTCTGACATACTTTGGACATGTTGCAAGGAGGGACTGGTCCTTGGAGAAGGACATCATGCTTGGGAGTGTGGAGGGACAACGCAGGAGAGGAAGACCCTCTATGAGGTGGATTGATTCAGTGACTGGAGTAGTGGGGGTAAGTGTGTTGGAGACAGTGAGATTGGCACAGGACAGAGCAGGGTTTAGGGTGTTGTACATAGGGTCGCTGAGTCACAGGCAACATGAGGGCACATAACAACAAGAGTGCTCATTATTTATTACTGTTTGTTTTAATTGTGTTGAGTTTTGGTGAGTAAACCTCAGCCCCCTTCATATTGCCCTCTTCTTCTTAAAAAATTGCTTGTGTGCACAGCAAGGTCACCTTTTCCAGGACTGTGCATTTTCGAGCTTGCAGGGTAAATAAGATCAACCAATGCCAAGTGTTCTTAATGGCTATCCAATTACTTGGCCTGAAGTTCTAATACATGATTGCTTCACTATGCCTTTCAGTGGGAGATGGAAGTTTTTCGGAGAACTCAACTGTGGAAAAATTATTTTTATTAACTTATGTGAGGGTCTGGACCAAAAGAAGAGGACTATCAGGCTGGGGTCACGATGACATATGGTGAGAGTAATGACGAACTCCAGAGATGGCTTCAAGAAAGAGCCACCACATTTTAACATTAAAATTCTTGTCAAAAGATCTCAGAAAAGTCCTCAATTTCACTGGCAGTAAATTATTCACACAGACGTGTGTACACCTATATACTGCTCTCTTTTGCTTTTATTTGTATTCTTTTGTCAGGCATATGGGTTTTAAATGGACCTTTTTTGTACCAGCTTCTTTAAAATAAACAAAATATTTGTAAAAAAAAGAAAAGGAGACAACTACGTCTTTTATTAGCAAGTATGCAGATACTACATGAGACCCTTGTAAATAACCTAAATGAAGTCACTAGTAAATGCGATTAAGAGTCTTATTAAAACAACGGATTCCTTTTATGTCAGTAGAGCTAAAGGACTCTGGTGGGTGGCTTTGCCCATAGCAAGTCATGCTGCTGACCAAAAGGCCACTCACATTTATCTCCGGCTGTTCTAATACACCAGCAGCTCTAAGGGAGGACGTTGAGCAGTCTCCTCCCATTGCCACTTACAGTCTGAGACACCTGAGGGAGGAGGGTCATGTGAGGTGAGGGAACCCAAGATGGCAGCAATGAGTTTGGCTGGTGTATAAGTCGGGAGACCTGTGGACACAGCTGAGCGACGCAGGAAGACTCACTCAGAATAACAAGGAGGCAGTCATTTAATGCAGAAACCCCGTTAACATAAAGAGAAAGGTGGAACGGCAGACAGGTCTTCAAACAATACTGCATAGTATCACTGAATAGCTCTTCGACACGGTTGATCTGTGTAACCTTGTGAGTCTGAGTCCAGTACAAAGACAGAGAAGAGACTTCAATTAAAAAATAATAATAATAAGGCAACAGAAGAAGAATCTTCCTGTGACGAGCAACAGCCACAAATAATGCACAAGGATGTGGTGCTGATGCAACAGGACACCGTCAGGACAAGTTCTGAAGATGTTGCATTGAAATTTAACAAGCATGGTACAAAGACAAGAAAATCATACTCTCTTTAGAATGAATCATTCTGCAAACAGAAATGACTCTCAGGTGACTGGTATATACAATCATTCTGAAATGAATGGAAACCACACTGAGTTTCCCTTTGCTAAGCTTAGAAGTGTTCCGTGGCACTGCTCCCCACTTCACACAGAGCATTGTCATTAAAGCACTTTAATCCACAGTATTCACGTCCCTAGGAAGGTTGAGAGGTTTTGCATGATTTTCAATCAGTCATCCAGGAAGGGTTGGCAGGCAACAGGTTGGAATGTTTTGATCACTTTGTGCTTGGAATCCTGACTTGAGTTCTGGCCCCTTCCCTCGGGAGCCTCTGGCTGGGCATCTCAGCAGTGAACTTGACCGCAGACAGTCATACCGTGGAGTCCCGGCCAGACTTTAGATGCGCGATCTTGGTCCGGCTAATAAACGGGTAAGCGATGCAGAGACCTCCGGCTGTCACAATAAAGCCCAAACTGCACCAGGCGCAAAAGATTGACCAGCTGTAGCCATGTTCCACATCATCAGGCAGGCTATAAATTAGCTTCGGGAGCCGGTTCAGATCATAGGAGATACTGGCAGCATACGTGCACAGGGAAATGGTACAAAATATGCCTATAAATAATATAAAGAGAACAGAATGATTGGTTACAATGTTGCCAGCTGCAAGGCAAATGCCAGATTGGCCTTTGTGAACACCAGATGAGCCAATAACTTTATCATTCCCATTACATAAAATTCTATAAGTCTTTTACCTAAATTAACTCAGAAAATATTGGCAACTTCTAATACCAAATATTATACTAGATCCTAGAATGATAAAGCTTTAAGATGGAAAATCTCAATAGCCCATTGCTGTGGATTCTGACACATAACTGCATTAAAACAAAAATAAATTCTATAGCCACTAACTATGAGAATATAACTAAGTATCCTATAGGGTTTTAAAAACTATTTTATAGGATCACACTGGTGGGTTTATGGAGCAGCTGATGGGTTCAAACCACTGACCTTTGGCCTAGCTGCCAAGCACTTAACCACTCTGCCACCAGGGCTCCTTATGAAAAAGACAGATGTAGAAATACTGGTACCTTTAATTATTCTGAATTCTCTTACTGGAGTAGTATTTTTATTTGGTTATAGACTTTATTTTTGTTTTGCATTCTTAAAATCAGTGTTTATGGTGCCAGCAAGTTAATTCTGGCTCCCAGTGATTCCATGTGATGGAGAATTGCCTCATGATGACTTTGGAGGCTGTAACTTATGCAAGTGGATCCACAAGTATTTCTCCCACAAAGCCACTGAGTGAGTTCAAACGACTAACCTTTTAGCATCTGTGCTTTTAAGTGCTGCTCCCCTGTGGCTTTTTTAGAACAATGATAAAGAATTTTAAAGGATAAAGTTTCCTATAATAATTCAAGTCTCTTACGAACTAGTTTTCTTTTCTCGCTGGGCGTTATCATGGTATTTAATATGTCTGTCTAACCCTGGTGCAAACCCATAAGTACTGCAGAATAAAGGCCTGGTGATCTACTTTCATAAAGTTACCACCTCAAAAGCACCTTGGAGCACAGCTCCACCACAAAGCCACAGGCTGGCTGCTAGTGGGAGACCGTGTGATGGCAACTGGGCTTATAAATGTTTTAAGTGAGTTTTTACAAATGACAAGATCTATTTTGAAGTTACAGAGACTGACTTGTATTAAACCTTCAAATTGTTTTTTTAAACAGTGTAAATTAAGCTTAGGAGTTTGAGATTGAAAAAACAGTTAAGAAAGAAGCCACATATTTCAACCACTTTGAAGGAAGGCCATTTAAATTTTACTTTGAATGCCAACACACACAACTACAATTGTCTTTCCAGAACTGAAAATCAGAACTCTGAGGCAAATGTTGAATGAGTCCCAAACACAGGATTCTGAGCGACTCACATGACGCTCCAAGCAGGGAGCAGATCTACTCCTCGTCACCACCCCGCAAGGACGCTCTTTCTAGATAGACCAGGGATAGAAAGAGGTAGCGGCTGGGCTGAAAGACAGTGGTGGAAATAGAAACTGGTACACAATCCAGCATCAGAAGCTGCACTTGTGTCCCGAGTCCCACACGAGTCCCACACAGAAATCATATCCCTTCCTCAAACTGGGGTCGGTCACGAGAACAATGTGCTGCAAGATTTCTTTGGTATCTTTAGCAATTGTCTGTAGATCTCCATAGGAACCAGGAAGCAGACACAGATTTAGGTTCTGGGTAGAAAGGACTGACAGTAGCAAGTTTCACATTGAATCAATCAATCTCTCTCTCTCTCTCTCTCTCTCTCTCTCTCTCTCTCTCT